TATTTTTAGGTTGTATAAGTTTACCATCTAAAAATAATCGATCAGTTTCAATGAAAAATCTAGATTACCGTATTAGAATCGTTGCCCCAGGCTGGATTGTAATAACTACATAAATTGACATTTCACGGATGTAAACTTTACAAAACAAAATTTGTATTTTGTTAGATTGCTTATTCTGTTTTATTTGATATTTCGATTTACTAAATTCCTAGTAAAAGATGCCAAACCACATTCTGTTTACCAAACTACTTTAGCGTTAGCTCTTAGTCCTTTCTTCTTGTTTTACCTTCTATCTTTTTCAATTTATAGCCAACAAGCATCTGGTCACTTGGTGGAATTCGTGTACTTTTCCATAAACACAAACAACTAAAACCATAACACCAAATATTTATGAAGTTGGTTCGAACTATGGGTACTGTAAACAGAAGGATAAACGCACAGGTAGCAGGTCATAATTGTTTTGCAAAGTCTTGAAGCAAACTGGTAGGGTTTGTTTATGCAACGAACACATTTCAACAGCTGTCACAGTTTGTAACTCTCTGAACTGTATGATTATAACCTCAACTTTCATCCAGTAAATCATCTGATTCCCTTCGACTATTACAGCTTTGAAAATCTGCTCCAAACGGTAGAAAATAACATAAAGTATAAAAAATATATATTTTTAAATTCATACTGTTAAGTATAGTATTAGGCTTACGTGTACAATTTGTAAACTCCACGTAGTTGATTAGGGTAGATTATTTATATTTAAATGAATCAGCATTTTACTTTTTACTTTCAATGAAATGGCGACCATACAAAGTAGGTATTAAAAGCCAAGTATGAACGGAGATGAGTGGCGCGATCTTGTAGTCTTGTTAGTCACTAAGGCCGACATTCCTTAGACTCAGCTGTTAATTAATAGCCCATACAGCTAGCTAATGGCAACTAAGGGACCTACAGTTTATAGTGGAATCCGAACCACATTTTTGCCTTGGTATATACGATGGTATTTACAAATGGATAACAAATAATGAGACTGTAAGGCAACAAGAGGCTAACTTCCAAAGACTACATTTCACATGCATGAAGCTATAAGCCTTGTAAGCTAATCACTCTTTGTTTAATAGTCTTTGCCTTGTATTGGTTGTTGATCCAGAAGATTGCCCTTTTTAACCGGTCTTTGTATTGATATCATTTAGGATAAATACGTGTTTACCATTTTTTTTAGGATATTATATTGACAATACATAATATGTTAACATTATGATACATTAACTACCATGATATATTGGGAATAAGTTACGTACTTAATTGAAGTTTTTGCACTGTTAGACATATTCTAATGGAATACTAGCAAAATAACGAAAAAGTCAATGCTACGCGATGTTCTGCCGTTTCAAACTAAAAGTGTTGAAGCTATTAAATTATCATGGTAATTAATATGCAAATAATATTGAGGTATTACATTTTACTAAACCTGAATATTCTTTTACTCTAAAAGACTTCTTTAGCTTGGCTTAGCTAGTTCAACCCTCTGTAGTTTCATTAGCAATTAATTTAATCTAATTAAAGACCGTTGTCCTTAAAATTCATCGACCTGGATTTTTCAACTAGCCGACCTTATAAGAGGGTTCTCAAATATAAAATCTTCGTCTCTTTGAAATGCTTACTGCTGCTTAAGAGTATAATATCCAATTAATTTTTTGTCTATCTCTTTATCAGCGAGATCCTCATTTCCTCCAAACCTTAATTCTGGGTTCATCCGCTAGACGCAAGAGAATTATACTAAGGTTTGTGAAGTAATGTAAACCCACGGCAAATAGTATCGTTTTCCACGGTAATATTTAGATAAAATTTAACTATTTTTAAAAATTAACTAATACAATTTGAAACGGATTTGTTATTCTATATTTTTATTTTCAGATGATCATTTACAGATCTACATAATTAATTAAATTATAATCGATTATTCGTTTTTTAAAGCTGTTGACTTATTAAAGACGATATACTATGCGTTTCGTTCTCATACTGCTTAGAACGAAGTTTTTTTATCGTATTATAATTGATTCCAAATATGGAAAGTTGTTATTGTGATAATCGATATTGTGACTATACGATTATCACAATCTACGAATGTTAAGGTAACATTTCTTGCAAAAAGGTAATAGACCAACCCACTAAAAGCTGCTAAATCATATGATGTACAATCTTCACGACTAACTGTGTTTATGGGAGCACTTTTATAATTAAAACAACCATACTGTACAGTTGTAAGTACGTATTTTATTACAGACAAAATTAGTTTTCATCGGTTGAAAGCAATGGTAGTATTACACTCTACAGTTATCAATAACGCTAAAGAAACCACAGACAATAGCACGGTTATTTGCCTCTTTTAAGCTTGTGCAACCAACTACCGGCAACTATTCTTTACCTGGGTTTTAGAGTATTTACTTTTGACCGAGACTGGTAAGCTACCTTACCTTATCCAACCGCTACATTATTCATAGAATATCCAAGGGAAATAGAGTTCACACACCATTTCTTCTGACGATACATTTTCCTTATGTCATTTGCCGTTTACTGATTTAGACTAGTATGATTTTTCATCCATACATAAATTTACTTTACGATTATGAGGGTACAAAACTCCTTTGAGACAGTAACAGATAAACTATGCCATCATGATAATGCATGATACATAATAATAATAATAAACAGCGCCGATTCAATTATTATTATAAAAATTAATTCAATTATCAATTATTATAAATCAAATATTTATAATAATTTTCAATTTCAATTTCAATTTGTTTATTTCTCGCATGCGAAAATTTGTTGTACACTGCAGCGCCTTGTATACCTCTCTAGCTGCAAGCTATTTGAGAGGAAAACTTATATCTATTGCCTTATTATACTATCTTTTACAGGTACATCGTATAAATCCATTGGTTTTATTTTCAAATTAAATAATATTTAATAAACAACCATAATTTGAACAAAAACATTTTTTTTTCCTTTTTTTCCTTTTTATGTTTTTTTTTAATTATATTTGACTATGAGTTCGTATGTTTTTTATATATGTGTGTGTGTGCATCATAATAGTATTATGGAAATAGTTAATTATGGGCCGGGCTGGTAGCCCCGTGTTAAAACCCGTGGCCGTCAATGCCTCTGTCACCCAGTTTCACCATTCCATATCATGTGTAAGTTTATTACATTGGGTTGGAATTCATGCAGAATATTGATTGAGAATACTCATAAAACAACGAGTGATTAGCATTTTACACTACCAAAAGACTTTTTAAACAAGTTTGTGCATACAGATTTTAAACAACACGTAGGTATGAAAATGTATCTTTTATGAATAAAAATTAACAATATTTCCCCTATCCTGTCTCCTCACTTTGGGAATAATAATAATAATAATAATAATAATAATAATAATAATAATAATTCGTGATTCATATCAGTCAAAATAGTAGTGTCATTTTTTTATTTGAGAAAAAAAGCTTTTATATTCCTTGGCTACAAAAAAACTTCTTAAAGTAGAATGTCTGGAGGAACGTGAAGCCGTTTGTCAACAAAATTATAAATATATTTACATTTCGTGCTAAAATATTTATTGAATTTTGAATTATGGATTTTTGGAAACAACAGCAATCCATACAATGGGTATAAAACTAATGGGTGGATAACAATTTACAACTCAGAGTTATAACCTATATCGATGTTTGAGGTTGAAAGTTGAAATCTTTTGATTGCTACTATGTTGAATAGGCTCCCCGGTATTTGTCAATATAGGCCTACCCGCAGCTGTGCCACTCTCATTCAAAGCATATGCCTCCTAACCATAAAACCTTATCGGCAACGGCACTTGTTCTACACTCTTTTATTTTTTCGTTGCAAATTTGTTTATATTCCGGCATTAACGTTGACACTTCTAACTAAAAGATCCTGTTAGTGAAATAGTAATCTTTTTTCTCTTTTTCAGACTAGTTCTAACAATGTTTGAGACAGACAGAATATGAGTGTATGTTTCATTGGAACTAAATCAATGACTTGCACAAAATCTCATCTGAATAGTTGAGTTAAAGAATTACGAAATAGTATATTTCATTACTAGGACCGAAAGTGGCATTTTCCGTTGCGATCTCAAGTTTTTGTGTGAGGCAAAGCCGAACACAGGGAACTCCAATTTCACGTGCGAGGCAAAGCCGAGTATGTGAGAGCTATTTTCACGTACGAGGCGAAGCCGAGGACGGGAATAATGGAGCAAGTGCCGGATAATAACTTTCGGTACGAGTTATGAACGATACTTTTCATCACGACGCAAAAATACACAAACACAGAATAGCAGACCTCACTGACCTCAGTAATATTAAAACAATTTTATTTCTCAATTAATTTGATTGAACATCAAAATACTGTAAAATAAAATCTTCCAAAAAGAAACCTACGTATATTTCTCAATAAATTTTGTTTAAACATCAAAATAAAGGAATAATTCAACTTTTAAAAATACATACAGCTGATTAAAATCGTTAAATTAAACTGTAACAAAACACTAGCGCGCGTAGTGAATAAATGAAGAACTAATTGAGAGCGAGGGAAAGTAAATTTAGAGCGAGGGAAAATCAGCTGATCGATTTTCCCTCGCCGTAAATTAGAGCTTGGGAAACGACTACTTTCATTGATGTCAGCTGTTATCGAAAATAGTTACTTTCGTTAAGGAGTGATGAAAACAATAATTTGTAATAATTATACTTAACCCTTTACTAATGGCTATGACCCTTAGTACACACACTTCATTCTATTTTTAAATCGTTTGGGTAAATTTTCTCTTAACCCGAATCTCCGTAATAGTACTGTAAGATGCATTTCTTTGAATACAATACATCATACTCGTTTATTGTATTTTTCAGAGATGAGTATTCCAACACACAATACATCTTCGCACTCTCATAAAAGTCAATGAGATGTGCACCGAGAGCCAAGTAAACTGGACCAACAATGATGGATCAGAAATGTAAGTCATGAACTGGACTGAGAGCAACAGTAGTGTCAGCTGGTGGGAGGACGCTAACCAGACGTCACCATGGGGCGAAGACCCAGGGGTTGTCTACATCTCACAACGGGACCCTCTCTTCGTCGTCGTCCCCATGACATGTCTGTACGCCGTGATCCTGGTGAGTGGCGTGGTCGGCAACATCAGCACCTGTGTCGTCATCGCTCGCAACAAGCATATGCACACGGCCACCAACTACTACCTGTTCAGCCTGGCCATCTCAGACCTATTGCTGCTGCTGACTGGCCTCCCTCAGGAGATGTATCAGATTTGGTACAGGTGAGAGAATAGTTACACGTGACTCTAAGTGATAGCATGAATATTACAAGTAATCACTGTATGGTTCAAAAACATATTTGTGTGATTTAAAGAATTGCGGGATAAATGTACGTATATGTAAAAGATGCAGTTTTTAATCGCAAAAAATTAGAAGCAAGAGACAATAGACCGAAAGCTCACTCGAAAAACATACTTTAATTGGCTGGTAAAGTAATTAAGCTATGTACAATTACACAAATATGCACCTGTCTTCTTGGCTGGACTACAAATACTTCCATAAGTGTCAGACCATCTTCTGTGTTCACTGATTTTCAAGATTTTAATAAAAAAGTAATATTCTTCCATTCTCTATTTAAAACTATTCTACTTATATGTGAAACACTGACATAAAAAAAATACCTGAATTAAAAGACTTGAGCTTGTCAGTGTCTTAGTATTCGTATTCCCCCTCTTGCTTATCTTTTAAGAACAATTTTGTGGGGTGTTGGTATCTTATTGCATGGCAAATGAATCTGTAATGTCTTTTTCACCACACTATGATGTTTTTAGCTGTTTCGGTACGTTAATAGGTGACTGAAAGTTAAGTTTTGCTGGTCATGCCAGCTGTCATCGTCATTTGGGGACCGAGCAGTTTTTTACATACCTAGGGCCTCAAAATCAGCTGCCCGCTTATTATTAACGCATATTAAATACACAATCAGTGTCATAGCATTGCAATAGAGTTGTTTTATTGTCACAGCTGCCTAGCAACTATTTACTATTATTTTTGCTGATTCCTCAATTTATTTCTTCACATAACCTTAAAGTTGTAGTTGTGTTGACTATCGGTGTGAATTATTTTTGTGGTTAATAGTGGTAATAGGGTTTAGTGTGGTGAAAAAATAGCGTGCGTACCACGGACAGAAATTTTGCTGTTTTTAATCGTTTTTCGTTCTCGACTTCGTCTCGAGCTAAAAACTATCTCGAGCCGGCAAAATCCTCATTTTCGGCCCTAGGTACGAAATATACTATTCTTTGGTTATAAATAATTAAGGAAACAAACAATAGATTTATTTGTCGCAACATTATTTTTTTAGTAAATTCAGTGATTCAGTGATAACCATAATGTTGCCTTGACAATGTTAGTTGAAATTTTAATCTAACGATATTTTAATTGTTTTACAAAAGTGTTATAATAATATAAAAATATGTCATTATATTGGAGTTAGTCCTTAAAATATTTCTCAATATTTTCATCCAAAAGTATTGTGTAGGACGGCTTGTGGAGCAATAAACACAACTTGTTCCATGGTACGGTAGTTATTGCAGCAAAGCCTGTTAAACTAGACCCTAGCATTACGCCAGCTGATTTATATACTGAGTTTATAGCCCAATGGAAAAATGTGTTGTAAATCAGAGGTTTTATATATGCAAAGGACAGTTGTTATCCTCGTAATATTCCTGTAGACTAACATCCTTGTAAACAATTTTAATTTTGTATTTCAGTAATTTTTAAAAGATTTCTATAGCTTATAAAACCAATGTCCTATACGGATTTGTGAAATTTTTATCTTTACCAAACCTTGCTTTAAAAGGTCATACAAGATTATGTTTATCCTTTTTCCCCCGCTTGTAAATGATCAAATTGCTGTAAACAGTACGCAAAATACCTCTTAGAGTATCATTCCCGCTCGCTAATCAGCTGATTTCACAGTTGTCGTTTCTACACTAACCACAGCCACGGATCCAGTACGTTCCTCAACAACCGGGGTGCAAAAAAATAACCTTAAACATAACTATAACACCTAAAAGTTAATCTGCGTGTAAGGTTACCATAAGTTAATTATGGTGGTAGGAAAATATTGTGTGTATTACTAGCACAGTCATTTCCGCTCTCGAAATGTCTATTGACTAGGTCTATTTTCTATTGACTTCTTTACAATTGATCATAGTAAACAGCATCACTAAAATAATTATCAATTTACTAAGTTACGTTGTGATTAGACCTGAACAAGACAACGTCTCTGTTGCATTCATGAAAAACTATTAAATGTCTTGTGTTTTAACTTCTGTATCAGGACGAGACTGTGTAAGGTAGAACTCTTAATCCATAAAAAGTTAACATAATGTGTCTTATTTATTAATATAAATCATTAACACGTAATAAATTCAAATGGTTGAAAATACTTAAGTATTGGATACAGATAGTTACTACATTCTTTTATTCTATGTCTGTTACAACCACTTTAAACTGCAAAAGTTCAGAAAGGTAAAAAGTGAATTTCCATAACCCAATATGCAAGTCCAAAATTGAGATCCCCCTTTTAACAAGACAAAAATTGAGTTTTTCGGTTTAGCGCTTGTAACTTTACATTAGACTCCCTGACAAAATCAAGCAGCTATAAAGCAACGACTTTATTGCAGAATATAGACTCTGTTAAGAGCAAATCTTTATTACACATTACTAGGGAATTTTTAGAATGAATGCTGGTTTAGATAGCTTAAATCCATCGCTATGTGTTACGTTGATATGTATTCGTAGAAATGTTTATACAATTATATACATCAATATCTAGAATATAATTATGGCGTAGCTTATCCTGTCTAATTGTGTACCATAAGGTGTAATGATTATTTTTGTTTAGTTAGTTTTCCCGTGTGCTCCCACTATCTCCGCGTTCCACCATCTCCGAACCCAAATCTGCCCCGCCATCTCCGAATTCTTGAGTGACCCTTATAATCCCGTCACTGCCTGCGTTATTAGCTGTCATTGCATCTACGGCTGCGAAGCCCCGTGGATGGAAGATTTAATGAAAATTTAACCCGTGGGTTAGGTTAGGTTAGGCCAGGTTAGGTTAGATTAGGTTAGGTTAGGTTAGGTTAGGTTAGGTTAGGTTAAGTTAAGTTAAGTTAGGTTAGGTTAGGTTTGGACGGAAAGTCTTAACGCAGGAAGTAACCGAGGATTATAGGGGTCACTCTGAAATTCGGAGGTAGCGGTACACGGAGGTGGCGGGACGCGGAGATAGCGGGAGGTAACCGGTTTTCCACATCACGAGACAGAGGTCAATCTAAAGCCTGTCGTTATTCCAGGTACCCTTATGTGTTCGGGGAGTTTTTCTGTCGGATGACGTCGTTTGCCCAGGAGACGTCGGCGAACGCGACTGTCCTGACCATCACAGCCTTCACTGTCGAGAGATACGTCGCCATCTGCCATCCCTTCCTGTCCTACACCGTCAGCAAACTGTCCAGGGCCATCAAGTTCATCATGGCCATCTGGGTGCTGGCTCTGTGTCTCGCAGTACCTCAGGTATAACAACCGTTCACAGGGAGCTCACCATAGCACAGAAAACACATTACTATAACCCAGAATGCCAACGGCATGGTAAAAAGCATTAAGTGTTTTGAGAGAGCTTTGCCTGTCAATCGTGCCATGCACTCAGCATAGCAACGCTGGTGGCGCTGCCTACGATTGACAGTCAAAGCTCTCTCAAAACACTTAATGCTTTTTACCATGCCGTTGGCATTCTGGGTCATAGTGGTATGTTTTCTGTGACCATAGTGAGCACTTGTACTAGTGGTTCGAGACCAACCATCTGCAATGTTGCAATGTGCTCTTGCTGTCACCTCTGATACTTATGTTGCAACGTTACATAACTGTATTTATGTTTCAAAGACAATTAGGTCCGTGAGGGGGTGATTTGGTAGTCGAAAATTGATGATAAGCAAATTACCTTACCTTACCTCCTTGGCCACTCAAACCTAAGAAGGTTTTTGGCCTCGCCAACAAGTTGCCTCCACTGCCGATCTGCCGCCAAGTCAAGAGATGCTCCCACTCTGTGTAGGTCTTTCTGGACTTGGTCTCTCCATCTCAACTTTGGTCTTCCGAGTGCCTCGTGGTTGTCCATTGGCGATCTTCAAGCATACTTTCTTCTTTCCTTCTTTCTACATGGCCCATCTCAGTCGTCTACTCTTCACTATGGCTACAATGTCCGGTTCTTTGTACAGTTCTCGGAGCTCTCGGTTGTTTTTATTCGCCACATACCTTCTTCATTTATAGGACAGAAAATCTTCCTCAATATTTTGTTCTCAAAAATGATAAGTTTGTTTTGTTGAAGTTTGTTTTTGATTGAACAAAAATGATTTTTATTTAATGTAATAGTTTTATATAATAAGTAATGGCGATATATAATAGTTTTAGTTAATAGTTAGTAAGCAAATTACTTTTAAAAAATATTCCTTATTGAATATCAAAAGGGCTGATACTAAAACGGAATGTTTTTTCTCATTGAAAGTATTAGTTTGGAAGGCAGTTATTTATTGCAACGCTTTACTAAATATTGCAAGATCTCCACGACGTGATGCCCTTACCTACCACACTTGATATCCTTCTGACAAAAACATCTAATACCCCGCGTTGGGAGAATTTAAAAAAATATATAATTTTTGAAAACGTATTACATACCTAGAATCAATCTTCACATAGGATACCCTTGTAGGGAGTGACTGGCAATGTTCTATTTAATTTAGGTCGTGGCCCGGTAGTTGTAAGGATAACTCAAGCTGTAAGTCCTCCATTTCAAAAAATAATATATATAATTGGAAAGGCGTAGTACCCAAAACAGAGACCTCCTTTAAAAAATACAAATCATAAATGATTTGTTAACACATACACAAATTTTTTTGTAAAAATAGTTGGAAGAGAAGTATTTTATGCATGAAGAATTCTAAGAGAAAAAAATAGTAGTAACCTGAGATGATAATGTTTATGTTTTGCTTCTTTAGGCAATTCAGTTTGGAGTAGCCAGCATGGGCAAAGTAAATGGTACAGACGACCCAGAGAAATTAATTTGCACTCTCAAGTTTGAGTTCATCAAGCATGCTTTCCACATCTCCACCGGTCTGTTCTTCGTGGTTCCGATGACACTGATCACGATCCTGTATATCCTGATTGGACTGAATCTCAGACGATCACGAATGCTGAAGAGGCCGAGCAGCACAAACCAGCAGCAACAGTCATATGCGACGAGCCGTGGTCACAACCACGTTGTTCGTATGTTAGGTAAGTCCAAGTTTAAAGATTATCAACTACACACACAGGTAGATAGATATTTTGGAATGTTCTATAACTGTAATAAGACGTATATATATTCCTTGTACTGATTGTTTAATCATAGCCCTATCACGCGTCCTCTTAAGAAGGTAACAAATTTTGTTGTAATGACGAGGCAGTTGGTTTTGACTCAATAATTAAGATTTGCTTTTAAAGGATCCAGCAATATTGTAATAGAAAACGTTTTAATTTTATACACAACGGACAGCTTAAGAGCACTAACAACACTGGGTATAGTGATAAAAGATCACGCCAACATGTAACATAGTTATGAATCTTTATGTCATACTTACGTGCTAAATAATTATTACCATATTGACTACTAAATCAAAACTTCAAGGTGTCTAGATCAAGGAGAGGTTGAGAGATTAATGAATGGAATAACAAAGCTATCATCGGGTGGTGCTTTAGCTGAAAATGTAAAATCACATGCAAATATTGTGTACCATTAAAACATCCAAGTAACTTGCTTTACTTCCAAGACACAACCTGATAATAGAACTCAAAACCCGAATACTCTTGAACTCTGGCGTATATACTTTATCATTATATATTACATAGGCTACGTAGTGTACACGTAAGTTTTAAAGCCTCAGAAGAATTGTGTTTTACTATACAAAGCCTGGTGTTATAGTGGCGGTGGTGGTGGCGTTTTTCATATGCTGGGCGCCATTCCATTGTCAACGGTTGCTGGCTGTCTATGCTAGCAGCACCACCAACCACGGTCCTATGCTGGTCGCAGTCTACAACGCTCTTACCTATGTGTCTGGGGTGCTCTACTTCCTGTCAACCTGTGTCAACCCCTTCCTATACCATACGATGAGCAACAAGTTTCGCCAAGCGTTCAAGGTAAGCCAAACCATCTCATTGATTTTTTTCTAACCAAAAGTATTCGCATTTTTCTGTGAGTGCACCATACCAAAATGAGACTCTGGAAGTACGTTAGTTTGGAATAAAATAAGTGTAATGTCCTTTTGCAACAAACCAAACGAAAGAAGCAGTTTTTTACTTTGGATGAAAATACATCTTTACACTCTTACCGGGCTTTCTTGAAAATTTTGTAACAGTGTTACTACGAGTAAGATCATAAATCGTCACATTCAATATTTTGTATTCTTGAATGCATTTAGCTTGTTTCCATGATATGTTCAGTTTATGTTTATCGGATTGCATTTCAGGCGACGCTGGCTCAGTTGTGTTCCCGTGGCAAAAGCAGCCGTCAAACTCGCAGCTACAGCATCCTGTCGAGGGCAGGAGTTCCGGGAACACTAGTGGCTCGGTCCTCCATGTCCTGCACGACCAAGGAGGCTGTAGTGATGGTGGGCCGTGGTCCTCGTAGTGTCCAGCCAGCCTACAGGTCACCTGCCGTGCCACACGTCATCGGCAAGAAGCTGAGGCTCAACAGTGATACTATCAGCAACTCTAGCCTGCAGGACGTGGACGACGGCGAGTACGTGGGGTACGAGCTGGCGCACTACATGGGGGAGCTGAATCGCCGGTGACGGTGACATCAGCGGCGCTGCTACACCATCTAGGCGCCGCCAAGTTCTGAAGGACATCAGCAATGCTGCTTCGTTCGTAGATGACTGAGTGCTGAATAAGGTCAGCAGCAGTAAAACAGTGCTGCTTCGAGTGTAGATGACTGAGTGCTGAAGGACAATTAAGATCAGCAATGCCGCTTCCTTCGTAGATGTTAATGCTGAATTACGTTTAAGGTCAGCAGCAGAAAAGCAGTGCTACTTCATGTGTAGGTGACTGAGTGCTGAAGGACGTTCAAGGTCAGCAGTGCTGATTCATTGGTAAATGACTGGGTGATTAATTTCGTTTAAGAGCAGCAGTCAAGCAGTGCTGCTTCGTGTGTAGGTGACTGAGTGATGAAGGACATTCAATATCAGCAATGCTGCTTCGTACGTACATGACTGAGTGCTGAAGGACGTTCAAAAGGTCAGCATTGCTGCTTCATTGGTAAATGACTGAGTGATGGATTTCGTTTAAGAGCAGCAGTCAAGCAGTGCTGCTTCGTGTGTAGGTGACTGAGTGATGAAGGACATTCAATATCAGCAATGCTGCTTCGTACGTACATGACTGAGTGCTGAAGGACGTTCAAAAGGTCAGCATTGCTGCTTCATTGGTAAATGACTGAGTGATGGATTTCGTTTAAGAGCAGCAGTCAAGCAGTGCTGCTTCGTGGGTAGGTGACTGAGTGATGAAGGACATTCAATATCAGCAATGCTGCTTCGTACGTACATGACTGAGTGCTGAAGGACGTTCAAAAGGTCAGCAGTGCTGATTCATTGGTAAATGACTGAGTGATGGATTTCGTTTAAGAGCAGCAGTCAAGCAGTGCTGCTTCGTGGGTAGGTGACTGAGTGATGAAGGACATTCAATATCAGCAATGCTACTTCGTTCGTACATGACTGAGTGCTGAATGTCGTTCAAAGTCAGCATTGCTGCTTCATTGGTAGATGACTGAGTGATGAATTACGTCTAGGTTCAGCAGCATTCAAGCAGTGCTGCTTCATGTTTAGGTGACTAAATGATGAAGAACATTCATGGTCAGCAGTGCCACTTTATTTCTAGATTACTGAGTTATTATGTACATAAAAAAATGAGTTCACTTTTGGGAAATCTGCTGTACCATAAAGATTCGTTCAAGCTGGTAAGCAAGCTGTGCTTGATTTTTATGTGAGTAGGAATTTTTGTTGGAAATGACAATATAGGCTACCGGTACCGTATTCAGAAAAGGGTATTTGCATTCAGGCAAATTTTAGTTAGGTTATGGATTCGATTCACCTTAAACTACAATTTCCGTAAGTCTGTTTATTGCATAAGTATACAAATCAGTTTAGCTACGTTCGAGACCAAAGTGTACAACTGACAGATAATTTTGGGAATACAGTATAATCAGTTGGTATAGACATAGAATATAACATTATTGTTATAACGGTCTTTATAGGAAAGATTAGTTATTGGCATAACTTTTTCACTTATGAACATTTTAAGGTGATTCCTTAGGGGAAATTAAGACTTCCTGTCTTTGACAGCAATATTTATGCAAGATTAAAACATAATAGAGATTTATTTTAGGAATAATGTAACATAATGAACTTTTGTTAGAAAACAGAGAGAACAAGTTTGCTAAGGTTAATAATGCAAGGCAATTCTGTGGATCGAAACATAAGTAGGCCTATTTATTAAATATTTAATTTAAGGTTGTGCTTGGGCTTTTACAATTTTTGTTTTGATACTTCTATGTGACTATTCCTTTTTGATTGCATAAATGTGCATGTCAATCTGAATAGGATTTGTTATGATGTTTGCATTGTAATGGAAGAACTTTTTAAACCTTCTTGACAAATCAAAAACGGTATTATAGCGAGTTGTTTTGTTATCAATAGAATTGTTACAGCTAGAACTGTGAACATTTTATATCTTTTGTTAGATTTTCTCAATTTTTATATAGGTTGGATTATACAATGCTAGATATGTGTAACTGTACCATAAGTTCATTGAGTTTATTGCTTAAAAATGAAAAATTTTCATTTTTTAAATTTAAATTTTAAACAGCTAGAACTGTGAAAATTTAATATTTTTTGTTAGATTTTCTCAATTTTTATATAGGTTGGATTATATGTACAATGCTAGATATGTATAACTGTACCATAAGTTTACTGAGTTTAGTACTTCAAAATGATAAATTTTTATTTTTTAATAATTTAAAATTAAAATTAAATAAAATAACCCTTATAAAAAAGTTTATATATGGCCATATAAAATTTTTTTTATCCGGTTATATTTGGTTTTGGACCAAGTATAACCAGATATGATCATATATGGAATCCCCCATATATGGAAATTTTTAAATAAAAAATATATAAAAAAATAAAAAAAATTACAATTAAACATTTTTTCACATTAAATGGTATAAACTATGCATTAAAACCATAATAAAAATTTTTAATTCGAAAATTTCAAAACAAAATTTTCAAGTAGTCGACTAGGATTCGAACCCGGGACTCCAGCGTGGGACCACAACCGCTTCATATCAGATGTCTTAACAAAACCCATTACGAATAAGAGAAGCTGTATTTGGTCTCGTAAAACAATATTTTCTTAGACATTTTATGTCATTTGAAGAATGTTATTATTAATATAGCCTAACTACGTGACATTGATATTTGAGGCTGTTTGATAGCAAAGGTACAATTAATTAATTATTAATATAATATTCTGTTTATTTAGGCCTACTACACTTACAATTTTAAAATTATACGACAGTTTTAAGATTTTGTTGCGTTATGATAAAATTGTACAATAGATGTATGTACAGGATTTTTGTCATCTGGGTTCAAATCTGGATACTTTATTACTTTACTACTAATTACTTTAAATGAGAAATGCCTACATTATCTGCCCCCCTACTGTACCACATTTCAACTGAATCAGTTCAGTAGTTTGTGCTTGCGAAAGCAACAAGAAAATACACAAACTCACAAACTTTAAGATTTATAATATTATATATATTATAAGAAGTGTTTGGGAGTCCAGTTACAAAATCCAAATGTGGCAACAATTCCTTATAATAATTCCAGTTATTGTCAAAAACTCATTTATACATGAGCATAAATGGAAAATTATTATTCCGTATATGAGTAATTTAATTCCATACCTGGGAGTCATATATGGCCATATATAGACCATGATTCCATATATGGAGGATATTTATGGCCATATATGGGCAATAATTTCATATATAGAAAACATGTATGGCCATATATGGACAATCATTTCATATATAGAAAACATGTATGGCCATATATGGCCAATAATTCCATATATAGACTACATATATGACCATATATGGACACCACCATATATGGATACAACCACATCTGGCCATATCTGCTTCCATATATGGCAATAAATAACCATATATGGCTTTATAAAAACATATATGGAATTTTGATATGGCCATATATGGCCAGAAATTACTTTTTTATAGGGGAACTGTTTTTGTTTTATTAAAATTTGTCTTTGGCGATTCCCGTAAGATAAAGTCACAAATCAATGTCAAAGTCAAATAATGTTAAGGCTTTTCTTCTCGTATGTGATAACACCGTATAGGTTTAGTTGTGTTTAACAACTAGTCTAAACTGTATTTACTAATTTTCATCCCTAGTCAAGTATTTCAGTGCTTCCCACTTTATCCAGCTATGTTGTATGAATTGTGTTCATGTATGTGAAATAAGAGGATTTAACTCCCTTGAAACCAAAGTTACCTGTATAGTCTACATGTGATTTCAAATCAGTATTTTTTATGTGGTCAGTGAAAATGGACCAATAGTCTTTATATTTTTTGTGTAAGTTATACTAAGTGTTTTGATTGACCAAATAAATGGTAGTGTTAGTATAGATCACAGTCAACAGTTTATTTACCCTATTTGCCCTATACGTGCAATAAATTTAGATGATGTAGTTTTTTTTTTACTATAGTGAAAGCTGAGAACATTACTTCCTATTTTAAAATGTTCACAATATTCATTGCCTTTTCTGTATAAATTAATTAACGTAAAATTAATTTTATTTATGACGAGGTGTTAGCCCGTCCTACGTACGGTAGTATTTAGTTAACACTGTGTATAAATCAGAACAGCTAGCTTACACGACAAATAAAGACAAAGACAAATAAAGTATAAAGACAAATTTTATAGCAGCTTTATGGTAGAAAGAGTAATTAAATTATCAATTGAAAGCCTAGTCAACGATATCACCTTCCAATTCCATCGCATACCTGCCTCTTCCATAATCAATATCAACACAATACAATTACTCTTACTATAGGCCTACACAATTTCCAGTAGGTCTGAATTCTGAACTCCCTAAAATAAAACGAAAACATCCAATAAAATTCACAGTACACATAATTATAACGTTAGTGTCCTGACATCATTAAACCAATCGCCCACCCATATCCTTTATATCAATTTCACTGCATCAATTTTTTTTTTTTTTTTTTTTTTATTTACTTTACAATCTGTTCTATTATATATTGAACAATAAGTAAATACTATGTATAAGTGTAAACAAAGAAAAGTAAAAACAACAACATATAGTTTGTTTTGGTAAACAGCTGAGTCAAAAATAAAATTATATTCATTTGAACAAAAAAACTGGTCACATGTTGAAGGAATTTAAAACGTAAAACACGCTAGTAAAGCTAGTGACGTAATTAATTATCTATGTTTATTATCCATTCCGTTATCAGTTATAATATCCTTAATAATTAAACCACCCTCATTGAACCAATGTACACCATAATTCCCCATATTCATTTATTTAAACTATAAAATATTCAGCGCCTCCAAACGTAGCCACAACTAAACACACGCCAAACAACTTTTTAGATTTCATAAAATGATGGTTAGTCTAATTGCAGTATCCTAGGTCAATGATGCCGTTGTGCTCGATCTATGTCATTCATATCCGTATATCTTTGGATAAAACCCGTCTGGGTTGTGGTGGTAATTTAAAATTGTATTCCTGAGGATTCTTTATCTTCTTTTTGACATCAATATTTCCGGGCCTAATCCAAACAAAGTTTAACCATTCAAAAACATTTATTGTAAACAAACCAAGATGCATTAAAACGTGTAAAAAAATGGATTTTCCTACCCTTTCCTAAAAAAGTTGAGCAGTATAATAATTTGCATATCCTTTTTTTAAGA